TCGCCGCCTGGCCCGCGCAGCGTGTCCCAGAATCTGGCTGGCACGCCCATCGCCATTGCAGCGCGCCCCACGCCTCCTTTGCCACTGAAGCAGTCGGCCAGGTACTGGCCCGTCAGGCGTGGTCGAGCTCCCGCAAGTCGACCGGCGAGGCGCGACCCAAAATGATGTCCGCGAGCTGAGCCTCGCAGACCAGGAACACGTTTTGCTGCGCGCTGCTCAATGTCGCCCACGTGGCTGCCAGGCGTGCATGCTTCTCGTAGCGGACGACGCTGCGGTTGGTCTTCCACTGCCCGCGCTTCTGCACGTCGGCCAGCCGCCTCCACCTCCTCGCCATGTCTATCGAGGCCCCCGAGTGGCGCATCTGATACGGCACCACCTTGGCCTTTACCCGCAGGTCCTGAAGGCATGGGCCTAACATCTTGCAGTACTCTGGGTACGTGAAGTTCCACAGGCACTCGGGGCGGCCCTCCTTCTTCATCTGACGCAGCACAGGGTCCAAGAAGCGAATCCAGGGCGAGTCTAACTCTAGCGACACGTCCCCCAGGCCCGTCTTGTCCCTCAGGTCCTCCTCCTCTGGAAAGAGCCTCAAGGTCCAGAACTCGCACACCCCCGGCGCTGGCGGCACCAGGCAGGCCGGCTTCAGAAGCAAAAGGCTGCTGGGGCGGGCGTACACGCTGACTGCTATCAACGTGAACACCGCCATCTGAAGGCTGCCACGGGCCTTCATGCGCCACGCCATTGCGCACCACAACGCCAGCGCCCACGGCTTCCTCGTCCGCGGCGGCTCCAGGCGCCGCCAGGCCCGGAGGCATCTCCAGCCCCGGGGGAGGCGCCGGGCACCGTAGCGCGAGAAGTCGGGGTTGAAGTGCAGGACCCCCGCCATCAACTTCTCGGCCCAGGATTGGTGAGTCCCAGCCTGGTACAAGCCGTTCAGGTAGCTCACCAACGCCGAGTCTACCACGGAATCGCCCCTGCTCTTCATGACTTCGTCGATGTCGACAGAGGGCCAGCTCCGACGGGCAAAATCCCGCCATCCGTCCAAGGCCCTCTGGTACTCGCGCTGCGTCGGGGTCCTCACAGCCTCCCGCTCCAGGAGAGAGAAGCCCTCCTCGCCGGTGGGCATCCCGTAGTGGCGGGCACGGCGCTTCTCCGACTGCGCGAGCCTGCGCAGCCGCGCGGCGCCGGTCACGACCTCGGGCTCGGAGCTCCCGCTGTCGGAGGAGCCGACGCTCTCTCGCGCTCCCCGAGCGGGCTCCGTTGGCACAGGCTCCTTCGTCAGGTCCTCCACCACTTGCCCAAGGCTCCGCGGCAGGGGGCGGCTCAGCACAGCCGTCTTCAGGAGCCCCGACTCGCCCAGCTGACGCTCCCGCCGAGCTGCCGGCTGCGGCAGCGGCGCTATCGGCGGCGCAGGGACCAGCTGCCGCGTGCGCCTCACCCCCTGGCCGCGGGCTGACAACTGCAGGCCGGGCTCCGTGCGAGACGGCACCGGCAGCCGCGTGCGCCGGCGGCCCGCCCCAAGCCTCGCGCCCTGCCTGGCCTGCTGGGGGCTCCGAGAGCGCTCCCGCCCGCCTGGCGCTCGAGGGCGCCCAGGCAGCATCGCGGGCCGCGACGCCATCGGCCGCCCGCTCGGGCCCGGCCCAGGCGGGGACCCGCCCTGGGCCCGCCCGGGCGCCCTCGAGCTCCAACAGCTCAGCCAGAAGGGTGGACTTTGCGCCGCCAGGATCGAATAGCCGCGAGGGAAGATCGGCACAGTTGCGCTCACTAGGTATCCAACGAATCGAACAACGAATGTTTCGGCTCAAACAGACAGCGTGAAATCGACGAATCTGGACCAACAAGTTGAAACACGAGCTCCTTCCCCGATTGAAGCTTAGCACGACCGACATATTGTCACAGAGCAGTAATTGACGTATATGGGACCCGAAAACCGTGGTGGCGATACGATGGATGCTGCTGACCAGGGCTCGGGCCTCCAAGGTCAAGACGCCCTCAGGGTGCTGCCAGGCTCTCGCGAAACAGGGCTCCCACAGGCCTGCGCGGAGCCCCTGGGCGGGCACCTCCGGGAAGTCCCTCACGACGTCCCACTGGCCCAGCTCCTCCTCGTCCTCGGGGAGGCCCTTGAGTTCCCATTTTCCACTCTCACTCATGCTGAAGCCAGCTGCACAGAGCGCAGCCTCTCGAGCACTGTGCGCGCAGCGCCGGCGAAAGCGGGCTCGCTCAGGCACGCGCCCGACTGACTCCACCAGCTCCTGCGGCCAGAAGGCCCTTGCCAGCCCGTAGCCGTGAAGACTGGCATCAGATTGCTGCACCATCGGATTCCAAGGCAGCCACCAGTCTGATTCCAAAAAGTACATCAGGGAGCTGAAGGCGGCCAGCTCTCGCCGCGCCTCGGCCCATAGCACGGCTGCCTCCTCGTAGTGGGCTCGCACAAAGCCGTGCACTGAATTGAAAGCTGACAAGGTGCCGCGCGAGCAGAGGCCACAAAAGGTTAGATGGCCCAACACCGCCTCCACGGCCCACCCCTTGACACGGCGGCGGGCTAGGAGGCCTCGCACGGCCTGGCGGCAACGCCAGAACCGATCACTGGTCACACGAGTGCGCAACTGGCTGCCGTCGATCTCCGTGCCAAGCGCCACTGCCATGCCCGGCACCAGCTCGCCCTTGTGCAACAGTAGGTTCAGCTCGGTGAACTCGCCCGTCAGCTGGTTCATCACGCCGCTCACGAGCTCAGAAAACAGCGAGAAGACCCCCAAGTTGTCGACGTACACGTAGTGCCTGACCTCCTGGGGCGCCCCGCCGGGCGCGAACACGAGCGGTGGCCCATGGTCAGACAAACTGGGCCCCCGGAGGAGCGCGCTGCTGCGGCGGCTCACCTCCTCGTTGGCCCGCTGAGCGAAATAGAGAGACCAGCTGAAGCCCATGCGCAGGACCTGCCATCAAGGGTAGATGGCCGTCGAGGTCCGTACCTTGGCCCCCTCGACCTCGGTCGCGCCGAAGGCCCCAGCCTTGACCGGCGGCAGGCAAAAGTACTGCGAAAGGGCTGAATCGATACGCATTCGATGAAAGCAGTCCTTCACGTCCGCCATGCCGATGTACACCTGCTGGGCCTGCAACGCGGCGCGGAGGTC